GCGACATCAAAAAGTGTCAGAGTGGAGATATGTCGGAATAAGACGGCACGGTGCCTGAGTGTCTAGCCCTCATGTCTCACAGTAAGGGTTTCTGTGTGGAGTTTGCGTGTTTCTCCCCGTGTCTGGATGAGTTTCTTCCGGGTGCTCCGGTTTCCCCCATCAACCCAGAACATGCTCCAGGTCTCCAAGAACAGGTGATAGTCAAGATCAGTTAAAGGTTGTACAGATGATTTTTTTAAGGGAAGAGAAGTACAGTGACAGTCCTCGTGCCTGCGTGACACCACCTTCCTCCTCCACAGCTCCTCAGTAGAAACATCTCCTCCCGCCTCTTTACTCTAGAAATCATGTTTGTTTACAGCCAGTGCGCGTTCAGAATCACTGTTGAAGTGACCTGTCTAGAAATATTTTATCGACCGATGCATCAGTTTTTAGTCCCTTCGTCTGCTTCACTCTCGCCATCGCTGGAAGGAATCTCCAAGAATCACCTCAGTTTGTCTTCGCTCCTTTTCCCCTTCTCTTCGTCTTTCAGCGACCTCAAAAACTGACTTTCTTTTGCGGCGAACTGGTCGTGGATTCTCGTCCGCCATCGCAACAAACTTTGTGCAAATTGCGAGGAAGCGACAGTTTGAAAAATCCTCTAAGAACCGCTGCATAAACCAGGTGATCCCTGCACACCGACGAGTCAGTTACACTAGAAACGTAGGGAGTTTGATTGACAACCGAACATCCAATAGAAAAAGAGGGAGCCTTGTTTTCTATTGGCTGATAATTGTCTGGCCTCACTATGTCTACAGTTGATAGATTTTCATTCATTTTTTTTTTTTTGGTCATCATAATTACAAAGCTGCTGCGTCTCTGTAATGGTATTTTAAACTTTCATTGACAATTTGAAACAAAAAAAAATCCTCCATACAACCTTTAAATACAAACAATCAATGAACCTGCCCAGAGACGACAGGTGGAAATCAGCACTGATGCAACAACCTGACACAAACATCTCTCCTGTTAAGGTTAATGTGAAAATTGTGCACTGTTCCTGTCTCAAATAAATAAAATAAATAAAGGCTTAAGTCTGTAGTGTTTGTCCTGTGGAACATTCCAGGCAATGGAGACAGAAAGTCACACTGTGCTTCATAAAGCATAAAGTTCCCCGCAGAGTCCATTTCAGTGAAGTGGAAACTAGAGCAGACACAGAGAGAATGTAAAAACTGCAGGAATCTAACCCAAGACTTTTGTGTAAAGTGACCATAATTTCTTTTTTTTTTTTTTTTTTTTTTTTTTTTTAATTAAAGCAAAATATTAAAGTAATAAGTTGTCTTTGTCCACCCCCCAACCAAACAATACATATTATACATAGACACACATATATACACATACACATATGTAAGCATCTACATATCTAGCTACTTTCCTACACACATATACCTACATATACGTACTGTACATATATGTATACACATTATCACATCCACATATACACATATATACACAGCCACTTCTACACACATATATATATATATATATATATATATATATATATATATATATATATATATATATACACACATACACACACACACGCGCATAGACATATACACACATACATACACACATACGTAAGCACACACACACATCTATACACATACACATATACATACATAAAAGTTACACTCTTAATAATATAATGTTCTTCTAAACAGATGGAATATCAAAAATGAATCAGTTGGTCATAATACCTTTTCATAAGAATACATGTATATATGTATATATGTATGTATGTATAAACATACGCTTATATGCATAACTAAACTTTTGTCTCTCATAAATTTGCCCTTTAATACTGATAATTTTGACATTCCAAACCACTCCACTGACCATAATTTCAAAATAAAAAAACTGGGACATCCTCATTTTTTGGTGGTTGGTAAGATATAATTATATATATAATTATATAATTGTGAATCGAGTGGGTAATTAAGGAAAATTGTTCTGCAGAGATCATTTATGATGAACACGTGAGTTAGTATAGTCACATTTTCTTTGCGTTTTGGTCAATTTTAAGAAGATTTTTTGCATTTTACCTAAATAAATGACAGCGTACACATCTCTTTATTGTTGGCAGGGATCAAACTGGTCCAAAATAACGACACCTGGGACATTTCTTGTATAAAACTGGGACAAATCGCTGGTTTTGGACAAATCTGCAGGGACGGGGGGACGTCTGGTGACCGTACCTTTGCGCCCCGACCGTTTTCTTCTTATTTAGCCTGATTTATTTCACAGCCAAAGTGTTGAATAATTTAACCTCAAATCGCGCCAAAGGATCCAAAAGCCTCCGGAAATGTGTCAGCGCCCGAAGCCAAACCCCCCCAACAACCAAATATCTGCGCTAACCGAGCCGATCCCGGATACCGACGGGCTCCTCCAACGAAAGTCCACGGTCGTCAGGGTGATTTCATTTTGGGGGGATTTTAACGATATATTTAAGCGCGTAAAACCTGCACAAAAGAGGAGAGTGATGCAACGATAATCTGAAAACAAAAGCACAGACGCTGAGCAGAGGTGGCAACGTCAAGACGAATTTATCCGAGACGCGTCACGAGAATTACACGAGGGTTTTAAAAGACGTGTTTTCAATTACATCAAAAGAATCGGACGGAAATGGAACGATTTAGGAGCGAGGACGTTTTTGGAGAAGGAGAGATGAAATAAACTGTACTGTAGTTAAGTCCTAGGTTAGTCCTGGTTTAGTCCTCGTTCAGTCCTGGAATCAGTCCTGGTTTAGTCCTGTTTTAGTCCTTGTTCAGTTCTGGATTAGTCCTAGGTTAGTCCTGGGTTAGTCCTTGTTCAGTCCTGTTTTAGTCCTACTTCACTCCTGCTTCAGTCCTGGTTCAGTCCTGGTTTAGTCCTCCTCTTCAGTCCTGGAATCAGTCCTGGGTTAGTCCTGGTTTAGTCTTGGTTCAGTCCGTGGCTTAGGCAGCGCAAAAGTTTGATATAATCTCGGGTTAACGGGCAGGTGCGGTCCTGTACTGCGCAGGTGCGAGTTTCCAGAAATGGACCCATGCAGGAATCTGCGCTGTCGGCTCCATTACAGAATAAATGAATCTTCAGTTCGTTACATAAAAACGGAGGAAAATAACACAAGGACGACAGCAGCAATAAGTTTTAAGAAGGATGTAAAAAGTGTTGTAACTGTCCATCCATTCCATTTTCTTCCGCTTATCCGGGCTTGGGTCGCGGGGGCAGCAGTCTAAGCAGGGACTCCCAGACTTCCCTCACCCCAGACACTTCCTCCAGCTCCTCCGGGGAGACCCTGAGGTGTTCCCAGACCAGCCCAGAGACATAGTCCCTCCAGTGTGTCCTGGGTCTTCCCCGGGGCCTCCTCCCGGTGGGACATTCCCGAAACACCTCCCGAGGGAGACGCCCAGGAGGCATCAGAACAGATGCCCGAGCCTCAGACGCTCCTCTCCACGTGGAGGAGCAGCGACTCTACTCCGAGCTCCTCCCGTGTGACTGAGCTCCTCACCCTGTCTCTAAGGGAGACGCCCAGACACCCTGCGGAGGAAACTCATTTCGAGCGCTTGTATCTGCGATCTGGTCCTTTCGGTCACTACCCAGAGCTCATGACCAGAGGTGAGAGTAGGAACGAAGACTGACCGGTAAATCGAGAGCAACTGTATACTGTCCTGTGTGAGAAAAGTGTATAAAGTTTGTGCTGAGGGGATTTACAGACTTAAAACAGATATAATAATTGTAAAATATAAAGTTGAATACTTCGCGAATTTCACCTATTGCGGGTTATTTTTAGAACGTAACCCCCACGATAAACGAGGGACCAGTGTATACAACACCAACACAGGCTACAGGTCTGAAGGTGCAGCAGCAGAAACATGTCAACAAGGTAAATACACGTCCTACGGTAACTTTTCCACCACTGTTTGTTTGTGCCCATGTGATCTGCACCAGGAAATAAAGACTCAAAAAAAAAAACAATCTTATCGCCATAATCACTGTCCAACCAGTCGAGTTATGTTCCATTCACTTTGTAGGTTGGCAAAATCTCAAATGAAGTGTGGATCAGGGGAGGACAGAGCAGAATCCTCAGGTAGAATTTGCACTTTGCAGGAATTTACAGATTTGTTGACCTGGTTTATAGTTTATGGTTTGTATCTCTGAAATGAGTCTATCCACATGAAACAAAAACTGGTACAAAGTTTGATGTCTTCTCTTTTTTATCTTAAGAAAATTGTACCATTGTTCAACCCCAAAGTCGTGATTGTTGTCAGTTGAAAGGACCTCGAGCCGTAAGATTAATTTGACAAGTTTGTGGAGCTGATCCCGAACAAAGAGGAAGGGAAAAGATAAAAGAACAAAATAAAAGTCCAAACTCTGCCAAAACTACCTCAAGAAAAAAGAACAAGATGGTGAAGTGTCCAGCAGCAGCAGCACAGTGTCCAGACTTAAACCCCTTAAATCGAGTTGGTTTGGGATGAACTGGACAGAAAAGTGAAGCAACCGACAAGTGTCACACATTTATGGAAACTTCTGCAACAGACTTGGGAAGAACTTTCTGAACAATATTTGATTTCTGTTGTAAAAAGAACGAGCCACGAGTGAGTTCAGCTGTTTTATCTGACAAAGGTCGACACTTTCATGAATCTAAAGTTTAAAATATATTTTGGTCAACAGGAAAAAGTGTGGTGTTCTAAAACCATAGTTATACAGACTTCGGCCCCTCGACCCGAAACTATTGACCAAAGTCTCGAACGTGAACGCAAACTTTAACTTGATTTGTGACGATATAAAAATATTCAAACAGAAAATACACAAATATGTTTCTCTGATCATAGAGTGAAGTCTTCACAAACTCACGTAGTTTCTGGTGAGTAAAGGTGCGGATGAGGATGAGATAAAAAGATAAAAAGGAGAAAGTCCAGTTCTGTGGGTGTTTCACAACAAACTGATCAGACTTTTGATGATTGATTTAAATACTTTCAGTTGATCAGAGCTGAGAGCAACACGACATCACAAACATCTCTGGGTTTGTTGGTAAGTTTTAAATTTAAATCTGTTTTATTTATTCATAAGATTTTTGTGAATTTTATCCATATTTGTGTTAAGTTAAACAGAGTTGTGCAAATGTTAAAGGACATAACTTTGGAAAGTGTCCAGTCGTTTCAGAGCATTTTTAAACGTCTTATTAAAGAACACGTATTATTTGTAGGTATCTGTATTGTTAATATGATATTGTTTTTGTAGAATTGATCTAAAACAGCTTCATAATACGAAACAGCTCAGCTCTAGAAACATTTTACAGGAAAAGGGAAGGATTTTTATTTTGGAATTTTGAATTGTTTTGATTAATTACAAGTAAGTACAGGGTAATGCACATGTACGGGGGAGAAAACTGGAATTTTCTGAATCCTCAAGCCTCAAAACCAATCAGGATTACTCAAACATGCATCAATCAATCAAAATACAACTCTGAGTAAGATAAAAAATTAAGGAAATCTGTTTATGACATGATTAAGAAGCTCTTAAAAGTCTGTTTTAAAGAATATGACAAAAAGACAAACGTTGTGTCAACACAAACTGTTAAATATATAATTTATTTGTTTACAGATTCTTAGATTGACATGTTTCACAACTGAAGACCGTCATGGCAGATTATATTGGTAAGAATTACACACAGATTATATTATATCACATTAGCAGGTTCTGTTGGTGTGGCTGTGTTCAGGAATTTGATCTATATCTGTGAGATGGAGAGGTGCCAGAGTCTTATGGTTGAATAAAAACAACACTTCCTGAAACCACTCAGAAAAAAAAAAGTTTATTTATATGGATAAATTATTATTATTATTATTTTAATTGCTACGTCTACGGCCCTAACTTTTCATCATTGTGAATTCCAGAAACAGGGAAGCTAGAATGTCCCGACAAAACCTCCACATCAAAGACTGATTCTGTCTCAACTCAGGAGAAAAGCACGACTGGACCTGGTGAGTATCTGGATGGAAATAACAGGTGAAACAGTGAGGCAGCAGTGGAGGTCGTTGTGTCTTTAGGCAAGACACTTGACACACTCTGAACATGGGTTGTGGGTGTTGGTTGAAGAGGTCAGTGGTGCAGGTTGGCAGCCAGATGAATGAAAAATACACTGTAAATCTTAGAAAAAGTGTTGTGAACACAATCAATAGAAATTTGAGTTTGATGACAAAAATGACTCACCCTGGACCTTTGGTCTTTTTGTTTACAGAGGAAACAGGAAACTTAAACGGTCACAAGCAGCTATGGATTCATACCACCAAGCTGTAAGTAAAACCTGAACAGTTACACAACACTCACTGTGCTGCTATTTCAGAATATTTTACCAGTGACTAAAATGTCTGATGTATTTAGGTTTATCTTATTTTAACTATGTTTTCCAAACCAAAATAATTGCACATTTCATCTCAGTATCATTTTCTCTTTCATTTATAAATACTTAGCTGACCTAATGTCTAAATTATGCCGTTCACATTTCTAAATACATAAGTGTGGATCTAAACTGATTCAGTGTGTGTAGAACCATAGACTGTATAAAACAAGTGGACTAAGTGAGTGTGATGTCACCCCCTTTAAATGAGGCTCATGATGTTCACGGTTACAGAGTGAATCAGGAGTCAGGCTCTATGTTGTGAATAGGATTTTTCTGATGGACAAAATTGCAAAAAAAAATTCAGGATCATGTGTCGCAGGTTAATACGAACATTTTAAGACCAAAATGACGAGTCTCACAGCAGCAGGTACAGAGAGAAGAGCCACAAGATCCTAATGTGAGTCAATTGGAGCCAGAGTCAGAAGGAGCCGGAAGAGCCTCCTGGAGAACTTCCTGTTTGGCACACGGCGGCTACAGTGTTAGATCTGTCCACTCATATATACGGTCTATGTGTAGTACGTGGGGCTGTTTGCACCTGTTTAGGGACGACCTGCACCACCCTCGTGTTATCAGCTCCTCTCCCTCGGGGCTCGATCATTTCAATCGACACTCTTCTTCACAGGAACATGCAAAACTGACTGTTGTAGGGTGAAAGGTGAAGGGAAACGTTTGATAAAGGCTCCATGTCTCCTCCTGTATCATGACAGATCCTCCCACACGTGACCCTTCTGCAAGTCATATTCACTGTATCATGTACTGTCTGTACTGTCTGTACTGTCTGTACTGTCTGTACTGTCTGTACTGTCTGTACTGTCTGTACTGTCTGTACTGTCTGTACTGTGTACTGTACTGTACTGTCTGTACTGTCTGTACTGTATGTACTGTCTGTACTGTCTGTACTGTCTGTACTGTCTGTACTGTACTGTACTGTCTGTACTGTCTGTACTGTCTGTACTGTCTGTACTGTATGTACTGTATGTACTGTCTGTACTGTCTGTACTGTATGTACTGTCTGTACTGTACTGTACTGTATGTACTGTCTGTACTGTATGTACTGTATGTACTGTACTGTAGTACTGTATGTACTGTCTGTACTGTATGTACTGTTGTTGTACTGTATGTACTGTTTCTGTACTCAAACTGAGAAATCTGTAGATCAGAAATTCAAGCCTCAGAGGAAACAGGTGATACACTGGGTACAAATCAGCTTTATTCACGCTTACGTCACAAATGAGGAAGACGTTTGGAGACATCCAATGACATTTTCCGGTGCAGTTTGCGACACTGGACTCGCCGAATGACTGTGATCAAACCCACTGAAGTAAATGTGATCAGCGGTAGGGATGGGAATCATTAAGAACTTCCCAGTACGATATATATCTCGATACAGTGCACTTTCAATACAATACAATATATTTCAAATTGATAAGGTTCAATAAAAAATAATGGCAAAATCATGGCTGTGATACTAAAAGTCTTTGTTAAACCATTTTCTGTGCAAATTTAATATAAAAACACCCATTTTAATCATGAAAACAGAGAAAATGTCAAGTGTGTCGCATAAACGAGTTTCCTTCCTCTGAACAAACAACAAAACTGTAGCTGTAACAAAATAATAAGTAAAAAAATACCTAAAAATACTTGATACAGCAGCCCACAACATCGATACTGTATCATCACATTAAACGATATGATATATCGATATTTCAATATTTTTGCACACCCCTAGTCAGAAGTAAAATGAAGACTGCAGACATATGTGCTGTTTGGAGTCATCTGGAATTTGTCCCCCTCATCTTTTCTAATCACATGAACCAAGTGAACTCTGAATTGTGTGTCAGTGTGGAAAAGATGAAAACTGAGGTGTGGTTGTAACTGTCGATTATCCGAACATAACAGAACACTACAATGACATGGAGATGAAGAAAACTGGGACATTTTCTCATTTTTCCCAGATTTCGTCCAACTTACTACAGCCAACAGAGCCCAAAGGAAGTCGTCATCACATGTTTACAAAGGTCTTCCTGGTTTGTGACGTAAGCGTGAATAGAGCCTATACTAGTCTGGAGAAAAGCTTTAGCTTTAGTTTAGACATGTCACTGTTAGAGGCGTGTTTCCTAAACTGGTCAATCATGATATTATACCTCCTTGTGGGCTTTTGTGAAACTTAATATAAACTGAACGGAAATGACAGCCTTTCATCTGTGTGTGGCTGTGATGTGTGTTTAGCTTTTTAGGAATAATTAGCTATTATTGATTCGCTGAAAAACAGGAGTCATGAAAATAAAACATGTAAAACTAGAAGTCTTTGTTATACAGGACACAGAGAATGTAAAAGTCTCTCTGACCCGAGAGCTTATGGCTGCCTCTCTATCAGCTCTGAATCCCTCGCGCACCTGTGTCTGCTCTCACCTCTTCACTTGGCACACTGAAAAAAAAAAGGTTGCTGGATTTGCGTAAAAAAGTTCTGGAAAGCGGTTGCATGCAATAAAATTTGAAACTTTTTTCGATCTCCTCTACACATATTTTTCTCAGAACATGAACATCACTTTTTCATGTTGATGAAATTTGAACAAATCCTGCTGAATATGCAGATTTATCTTATGTTACCTTATCATGAAATGTATAAGTATGTATAATGTAATTTAATTGATCTAATTCTGTAAAAGAAAACAAAAACAGTCTTTAGTTTTCCACAGTTCTGTTTTGTCTTAAACAGAATCAAACACACAGAGCACAGGGACAGAGACACACAGTTTGGAGCTGGACAGTGTGAAGATTTATTCCAGTGAAGCTCTGGTCTCTGTGGACACAGAATAACACATGATGATCACATTCTGATGATCTACTCTGTTCTACATGTTTAAATACACTTATAGCAATTATTACTACAATAATGGACCAGAACAGATCGTAGGTATCATTTGTCTATAAAATAGTTATAAGTACACCTCTGCGTAACACTGCCACCTTATATGACGCCAACAACGCTCGCTGGTTTACTGAAGTAGCAGTCACAAAGCGGGATGATTGTCGGCAATATTCGGCACGTTTTCGCTGAAAATCTCAAGCGGCTCATCAGAGTGACTGGGGTGTAATGTATTTAAGTGACGCCTTAATTTATTGGGCTTCATGTTGTCCGCTGCCAACATTTTTAGACACAGTAACACACCGGTCTTTCCTCGTCTCCCACCGTAGTCACAGTGAAGCCAAGCGCTACATACGCTTCGTCATATTTCCTCGTCTCAGCTTTCGGGAGATTTTCGTTTGTCTCTTTATCTCCGTCTCTCCGTCTGTCTTCTCATCCCTGTTAAATATTTTTTCATGGTGTCACTTGAGGGTCTGCTACACTTCGTGTCTACACTTCATACTCAAACTCTGTGCTGTGTGCAAAGCGCGCATGCTCAGTGCAAACAAAACTCCTACACCACCGAGCGAATGCTCCCTGCGCAATCTGCCAATGAGAGCGCCTGCCCCCTAATGTAGTGGAAGTGCAATTGCACTTTATTCTAAAGGCCCGTTCAGACCAAAGCGTCAAAGCGTCCACTTTCTATGTAAAGTCTATGTGGACGCGCGACTAGAGCGTCCTGCGTTTTTGTGGCGCGTTTTCGGCGTCAGCGCGGCGCGAATCTGCGTCAGCGCAGCGCGTCTTGAGCGTTTTGGCGTCAGCGTCAAGAAGTTGAAAATGCTGAACTTTTCGCGTCAGACTCGCCGCGCGTCAACCAATCAGGGACGAGTATCCAGTGACACAGCGACGTTAATTATCAGGAAGAAAAACCCGAGAACCAGAACGAAAACCACAAACATGAACAGAGAATAAATATATACACCACAATCACCGAGCCGATCGCGAGGACTAAACCAGGACCGGACCAGGACTAAACCAGGACCAAACCAGGACTAGACCGAGACTAAACAAGGACTAGACCGGGACTAGACCGTGATTAGACCAGGACTTAGTGAACGGCCCTTAAGACAGTAAAAAAAATCTAAATAAAAAAATAAAAAAGCATGCTCCCCGAGGTCAAACGCGTCCCCCTTGACGGAGCCTGGTTTACTTACTTTGTTCATCTGTGCTCTGTGTTTTTGTTCTCAAACATCTTCCTTTTTTCTGAAACATCAACTATAACATTCATGAACTTCCCCACAGCTGCAGCAGAACCTGGACGTCACTCTGTGTTTGTAGACGACTCTGGAACAAACACATTCACATCTGATACAAGTGTCACACTCTTGTAGATGGACAGTCAAAAACAATTTGTTTCAAGCTGTCCTTACATTAACTCTAATTTCAAATAAAACAACACAAACATGTTTTAACAATGACGACATTCTAGGCCGGAGAAGCACATAATAAAATCTTTGAAAAGTCTCACCTCCAGATCAGCTTCATAATCCTCCTGCTCCACACTGTGTGTCTCTGCTCCTGGATCTGTCCTGTGTCCTGTTACATCTGAATTTTCCCTCCAAAAGTTTTGAGGAGGAGAATTCCAGAGGGACGAGCCTCACCAGAGATTATAATAAAGTCATGTTTCCTCAACCTGATTAAAACCTGCAGGTCTCACATCAGCC